CCCCATACCGACCGGGGATTGAATTTGGGTCCTTGCGCTTGCACGTCAGGCTGCAGAACCACTGAGCTAAATCCCTGGCCCTTTCTTTTACAATTCTGGCCTTCAGTGAGTGTGTCTTCACTGTCCTCCATGTTGGCTCCTCCTGGGTTGGCCCTATCTAACTGACTACAAGATATCTAATTAACTTACCTATTTCAATAGTACCTGCGATCAAAGTCAGGCAAAGCAGGTGGTGGCACCACTGAGCTAAATCCCAGGCTGTTTGTTCTTTTTGAGATGGTCTGCTCAGGCTGGCCTTGAACTCTTGGCAATCCACCTGCCTCAGCCTCCCAAGTGTTAGGATTACAGGCATATGCCACCACAATTTTTTTGGTTAGGATTGGTCCCTTGAATTTATGTTTTTAATCAACTTGTCAGATTCTCCAAAAAACCAGGTGAGATTTTGATAGAAGTTGTGTTGCATTTGTAGATCAGTTTGGATAGTATTGAGACAGGAAGGTAGGCCGTGGCTAAAACTGTCTGGGAAAGGTGACAAGATCCCAGGACACATGCGCAGAATAGTTCCCAAAGCCCTGCATGTGGACTTCTCACAAGGACTCAGCAGGTTTCCCTGGACCTGACCTCAGCCTGAGGAGTGGGCCATGTAACAAGGACAGTGCACACTGAGCTTTTGCCACTGTGTTGCTCCTGCGTGGTGGCCCCCTCACGCTGTAGCGGGTACTTCTTTTCCTACTTTTACTTGGCCCCAACTCGCTCTGCAGAGCCTGATTCCTTCCCTGCTTTAATAAAACTTTGCTGCCATTTGTGTTTGTCTTGACCAAGTCTTTGCTCAGGACAGAAAGAACCTAGAAACCACCTCCAGGAGGAGCCTCCATCACCCCCAAAACCCGGTAACAGCTGGAGAATGGGCCGTCAGGGAATGTGGTCAGAACGGAGTCCGATGTTGGTTTCTTCCCAATGTCCACTTAGCTGAAGACTGTGAGTGCCAGACAAACAGAAGAGGGGAGACTCCCTTGGGGACTTTCTTCTCCATACCTGTGGGCATCTTTTCTTCTTGATGCCAGCACTGGGGGAAAAGCCCTGCATGTGAATGAAGAGAGCAGAGGGGGCACAGGTAAACTGGGCTTCTGGACCCCAAAGATTGGGCCAAGTCTTTTCTTGGCTCCCTTTGTGGACCTCCCAGACTGTGACATGGTCTTCAAGGCCACTGGATGGTCCTGGCTTCACGGACAGTGATTCTGTGCACTGTCCTTGTGTCACCCGGTCCTCAGGTCTAGGCCATCCCATGGGAAACCCACTGGAGTCCTCATGAGAAGTCCATGTGCAGGACCTGTGCTCCCAAGCCATACAGGGGTTCATAGGAACTGGGGAAATATTAGCAGATGTTTATGAAAACGACACTGAATGGTGAAACATGGGCAAACTACCGGGTGAGATTACAAAAAAAGAGAAAAAAAAAATCAAGTAATAGGAAGAGGATCTCTAAGCCCAGTCATCTCAGGAGACTTGGTAGATTATTTTATTGTCTCAAACACAGTTTGATATGTAAGTGAATTTATACTTTTTTTCACTGAAGTAAATTTGTGGCAGACAAAGTCTTTAGGGTGAAGGTTTCTCTAATGTACGCTTGACTTGTTACTTGATGTATTTGTTATGTGATATACTATTTAATGAATCTCAAAATAAAAGATAGACATAATCTTTTTTTTTCTTTGTACCGGGGATTGAATTCAGGTTCTTGTGCTTGCACAGCAGGCAGCGAAACCATTGAGCTAAATCCCCAGCCCTGGATAGACACAATCTTTAAAGAAACTCATGTTGCTTAGAGTAGTGAACATGAAGTAGAGTATTAGCTGCATTGTCTTTATCTTTTTTTTAAATTAAAGGAGAGTAGATTGTTAGTCAATTCTTTCATCATAAATTAATGGAGACTTCCTGGAAGATGGTGGAGTGGTGAACAGCAGAGAGGGAGCCTCTCCGAGATTTGGTGTCCTGACACTGGAATATAGCGGCATGAGGAGGAGAAGGAGGAGGGAAGTAGGTCCCTGAAACCCAGGAAGGGTCTGAGTTGAGAATTGAAATCCACTGGGAGACTGAAGAGAGTGATTTTAACGAAGAAGAGGTAGGTAGCAAGCAGTGCTCTATCCCAGAGTCTGGACTCTGTGAGGGAAAGGCAGGCCAGCTGTGCAGATGCTGGCGACTCCAGAGGCCTCCACGGAGAAGCACACCAGGGGAACACAGCAGTGGATGCAGCCGAGTGCAGCGGAGTTCAGCGGCTGCAGGTCTTGTCAGAGTTGTTCTATGTAAACAAGATCACTGGCTAACATCCCAAGGAAAGCAAGTGCATCCAACAAGTCTTCCAGGTGGAGCAAGTGGCAGACAGCGGCGCGGGCACCTGAGTTAGAATCTAGTCTGTGCCTCTTATCAGCTCTTCGACTTTGGACAGGTTGGACAATCGTAACTGGACTTTCTTCATCTAGAACAAAGGCTGAGCAGAGAAGCTGAGAATCTTGTGGAGGACCAGCAGCCATCCTTCTAGCTTCAGGAAAAATCCGACAGTGAGGCTGGCAGAGAAGAGCCCCTCTGGACTTCTTTTTATGTCATCAAGAGGTGAGCAGCTTTGCTCTACCACATGGTTGTCCCCACCATGATATTCTACCTCACCCTAGGTCGAGAAGCAATGGAGCCAGCCAGCCATGCACTGAACCCTCCACAACTGTGAGCCAAGATAAACCCTCCTCCTACTCCGTGCAGATGGCGGGATTGTTCACATAGCAGGACAGATTTGCCATCAAAGGGACAAGAAATCTTGGCAGGAGGCACGTGAGTGCCAGTGGCGAGTCTCTCGTTGATCCTGGCATCTGTCCAGCAGATCCTTCCTTTTCAGTGAATGAGGAAGAAAGACCGCTTATTCTGCTCTGCCAAGGCTAATCAGACTCAAGTTTTCCCAGCACTGGAACTTGCCAGCTTTCAGCTGCAGAGAGAAAGCAGATACATTTTAGGAAAGAACAACAAATGCACATTCCCTTCAACCTTGAACCCCGCACAACTTCACAATCTACATAATCATTTGCAAAGGAGACCGCTTCGCAGAGGGGCCCTGGATTTGAGCGCTCAGGAGGCAAAGTGATCCTGGGGGTGCTTACCAAAGAACTGCTTTCTTTGCCTAGTTGTTGGCATTAACCAAGATTTTCTTTTCTTTTTTTTTTTCTGGTTTTCAGAATCGAACTCAGGACCTTGCGCTTGCCAGGCAGGTGTGGCATCACTGAGCTACATTCCAGGCCCTTCTTTTTTATTAAAAATAAATTAATGAAGTAAGTTTCCATATATATGTAGTGTATCCCGACATATCTGTACCTATATGTATATTGACATATACATCTATTTTTTCTTTTCCTATTGAGTTTTCTAAAAAATTATGGTGAAGTAAACTTAGTATAAAATTTACCATTTTAACACATTTTAAGTGTATAGTTCAGTGCTGTTAAGTGTTTTCACATTGTCATGTAATCATTATCACCCATCCATCCTCAAATAATTTTATGGTTTTACATCAAGGAAATAATAATTTTCAAGCTGGGCATGGTGGCACATGCCTATAGTCGCAGCACCTGGGAGGATGAGGCAGGAGGATCACTGTGAGTTCAAGGCCTCCCTGAACTACATAGCGAGACCCTGTCTCAAAACACAAAATAAAATGAAAAGAATAGTTTTCAGGAGAGATTAGGAAACATACTCATACTGTAACAGCAAACAGGAAACACTGAAAGGCACCCAGGACTTGGAGGCAGAAAGCAAACTTTATTATATCAATGGGCCTGCTCGGGGTAGTTCCTCAAAGAACCAGGCAACTGTCTTTAGTCCTTCTGCAGTTCATGTAGGGTTTGCAAGCGGGAACTAAGTACAGAAGCAGAGCAAGGAGTTGATTGGTTACATATGATAGTATTACTGATTGGTCTATATCAAGTTCAAACTCAGGTTAGAAAACGTTAGTTCAGGGTAAGGTTGGCTAGATAAGTGAGACACATATTTGGAATATACATCAGTTCAGGGCAGGGTCTGCCAAAGAGGAATAGATAAGGGAGACCTATACTTGGAGTGGGCATCAGTTCAGGGCAGGGTCTGCCAAGGAGGAATTTGCTTGGGCTGAAAAAACTGCTCACGGCCAACATTATCCTGGACTGTCCCACCTGTCTGTCGGCCATTTTATTTTTCTGTCTCAATAATACCATGTTACTTGGGAAAGCTATTAAAGACTAATCTTAATTTCTAGGTACCTAAATCAGTCTTCCAGAGTGCTTAATACAATTATATAAAACCTAGTTCTTTTAGGAAGCTCTCAAAGAAATACAAAAGACAAAACAAAGCTAGCCATGGCAGTGCACACCTACAGTCCCAGCACTTGTGAGGTTGAGGCAGAAGGATCACTGGGAGTTTGAGGCCAGCCTGGGCTACATAGTGAGACTGTCTCAATCAAACAAAGAACCAAAAAGAGACAAAAACAAACCAAACTCTATGAACACATTAACTTCACCAGTAGTCAAAAACAAGATAATAACAACCACTACCTCTGAGCATGGTGGTGCATGCCTGTAATGCCAGCACTTGGGAGGCAGGGCCAGGAGGATCACCTTGAGTTCGAGGACCGCCTGGCCTACATAGTTCAGGGCCAGCCTGAACTACAAAGTGAGACCCTGTCTCAACCAGAACCAAACCAAATCAAACAAAACACCAACTACTACTAAAAAAATCCTGATTTTTTTGCATATTAGCAGAGGGGAGAAAACAATAGATAATATCAGTGTGTGCAAGGTGATGATAGAGTAACATATTTTTGTGGAATGTGGTTATATCCAGAAATTTGAATGAAAATACCAGGAATCCTTACTAAATCTAAAGCGTTAGCTGGGTGTGGTGGTGCAGGCCTATAATCCTAGCAGTCAGGAGGCTGAGGCAGGAAACTGACTCAACAAACAAACTAAGGCCTTCATCACAGAAAGATGCTAAGGTAAATGCACAACTGTGTTCACCTCAGTGTTGTTTATGCCTACTCTGTTACTTGCTTTTCTGTTGCTGGGACAAAATGCCTGACGTAACAGTGTAAGTGAAGAAAGGTATGTCTTTTTTGGCTCATGGTTCCAGAGGTTTTAGTCCACAGTCAGCTGGCTCTAAAACTGAAACAGCACGGGAGAAGGGTGTGGCAGAAAAACTGCTCACCTTGTGGCACCTGGGAACAGAGAGCAATGAAAGAGCCAGAGGAAGGGCCAGATATGGTCAGACACATGGCCACATATGTCCCCAGGGTTGCTCCCTTATGACCTACACTGACATATCCGGAAATGTGCTTTACAAATCCCCTAGGCATCTCTCAAGCAATCAAGTTGATAATCAAGGTTGATTGTCACTGGGCATGGTGGCACATACCCACCCGTAATCCAGCACTAGGAGGATTTCAAATTCAAGCCCTGTCTGGACAATTTAGAGGTTTAGGAAGACTTTGTCTCAAAAAGGGGG